GATCGATTAGGAGCATAGGGTACGCGTTGGTCGGGCATGCTTTGTTGAGACTCCTAAAATCTACACACATCCTCCAGTCTCCTAATTGCTTTGGAACAAAGATGACGTTTGAAAGCCACGTGACATATGTGGCTTCCTCAATCAATGCAGCTTCAAGGAGCTTACCGACCTCCATTATGAGCCCCGCCTCCTTTTCTTGAGACAGGTTCCTTCGATTGAATAGGCTTCTTTCCCTCATCCACTGTCAGCCGGTGCAGTGCGGTTTCCGGCGCAACACCAGACATCTCTTTAGGCTCTAAGCGAAAAGCTCTCTGAACTCTCTTATTAAGAGAGCAACCAACTTTTCCACTGCCTCAAGGGGCTTCTGAGATGATATCCTCACTTTCCCCTCGGGACGCCCAATCTCTAACATGACAACAAATCGTCATCAGCTGCCTCCTCTCGTGGCGCCTCGTCCGACATGAAGTCCACTGCATCAATTATCTTATTCTTGCTTGGGCGTGCATTTTTGGACTCTCGAGCATAGCAAGGGGCGCCTATTCCTCGGGCCACTCCCACTGAAGAGGGCCAAGAGGGGTCTATCCATGATTCCAAAGTCTATGGCATGAGTGACCCATTGCACCTCGTCTCCCAAGGTTAACGACAGACTCACACGCCCAATCCCTCTGGCAGGCACCCCATGAAAACCCGATCACTCGATGGCTGTATCATGTCTGGTGACATTTGCATCCATGATATCGTATCCTTAACAACACATCCATAGACCTCCCCGTGTCGATGAGTATCCTCCACAGACGGGAGTCTGCACGCCTCGTTAGGCGTCTGGTTGAAGGTGATGTGGATCGCCTCCTTTGCGTCAACCGAAGAGGCCCTCAACCGGCGATTACCCTCCAACTTTTCCCTTAGATCGATCGTTCATAATGGACTCCACAATGAGCCGAAATCGCTCAGGCACCCTCTCTTGGTCTAGGTCAAACGGTGGAGGGGGAAACTCCTCCGCCCCCAACTAAGTCCTAGCAACGTAGGTCCGATGCGCCTTCTCCTTAGGCTTATTGAAAAATTCATTGAGCATTCACTATTCACCGGACCTTGCAAATCTGTTTTTAACTGATACAATCGGTGGTGTTGTGTCCTCTCTCTCTATGAAAGTCGCAATACCGGTCTAGGTTCCGCTCATTTGGTTGTTCCTCATTGGTCCCGACCACCGCACGTGATACCCCTTGTCCCTCACATGTTGGAGCACGTTCTTTAGTGTATCGTTGAACTCCACAAACAACCCTGTCCCCTTGGGCGAGGGGCGCCCAGGGTCCATCCTACGTGTTGGCACGTAGGAGGTGGGAAAGTAAGTGGGGACCGACACAGGCGCTAGTCTCCGTAGGGGCTACCCCTCATCTCCTCTTGTTCGACGCCTGTCCACCCTTCTTCCTCCAATAAAATCACCTTCTGCACCCTGCGATCTAAATCCTTCATGGACATCACATACCTTTTCGACAGCGCCCAGCAGAGCTCCTCACTGGTTGTGCATTCCTCGAGACAACATCCTAACAATGGTGGCTGCACATACTTCACTTCCATAGCCACCAGAACCCACCTCTCGTAGAAATCCCACGGGGTTTCCCCTTCTTTTTGCTTTATTTTAAACAGGGTGCCTATGGTCAATGTGCGCCGCTTCCTACTAGCAAACTTTTCCAAAAACAACGCCGCAAATTTTTCGAAGCAATCTATGCGCCCATCCTCGATCTGGTGGTACCAATCCAGCATTACTCCCGCATAGGTCAACGGGAACACCTTGCATAAAATTGCGTTGGAACTATTGTACAATTGCATCTTCATGAAGTAACTGTTGAGGTGGTCATCTAGGTCTATCGTCCCATCATAAGTCGAGAGCGGTGGTATGTTAGTCTTTATTGACTCCATCAACACTTTTCTCACAAGCGGCTGCTTTATAGTCAAGTGTCGGGGCAAGCGCCGGTGTGCCCACCCGTTACGTTCTCCAAAATATGAGCCAGCGTGATCGGCTGGGTGCCAGGCGGTCACAGGGCGCCTGAAATGACTGGACTCTCCCTCCACTTCCAAGGTCCTTTCCCTTTTCCTCGAGGTCGGGCTATGGGCCGCCCCGTCTCCTTTCTTCAAAACCTCCACTTCCTGCTTGAGAATTTCAATTGCCTCGTTTTGATTTTCAATGATCTTAAACATGTCCTTCTTAGTGATCGAGGTGCCTTCTGAGTACAGGCGCCTCGAATCGCTCCCTTCCTCAATTCCGCTAGGCATCTGTTCCCTTTACCCTTGGTAGGGATCCCCTGTAACTTGCTCATCCTCCCCACTTATGAGTGCCTCCATCTTTAAAGTTATCAGCTTGTTCGACCCCTTCCTGGCGCGTCAATTGTTTGAGCACAAATGTCGGGTCCCACACTCTTTAGGCTCCCACGATCTTCTTGTTCTTCTTAGGCGCCTCACCTATACACAAACGTACGGAGGGGGCGCACAGGCCCGTTAATACTCCGATGATCAAGTCAGTTTGATTCCTAAAAAGAGAAGTGTCAAACTCTAGTTTAGTGAGAGAATCCAACCTGCATAAATGCTACCTACTGGTGCTATTTCCCACTGGGCTCCTTCCTTTCAACCTTATGTCAGCAATGCATTTAATGCTCCGTACCGCACCTCGACAAACATGACAGTTCTTCTGACAAGTACTAGGCTCCCAATGGGGGGACCATGAACAATCTGTACCTCCTTGTCAATTCGCGATCCTTGTCTCTATGCACCTCCCCTTCCTGGCCGACTCGGCTATCTGGGCCCGACCTACCTATCTGGGCTTGCGTATGGGCTTTCCCCTTAGTGATATTTTACCTTACTGGGTTATTGGGCTTTCCTTTGTAATACCCCCAACACTAATAAAGAACATGTCTATGGTAGCACTGAACAAATAGACCACACCATTTAAAAAATCATGACTAGACCATTTAAAAAATTATGAACCAAATTAGATTGTGTTGTTTGGTTCGGACGATAGACCGTTAAAAATGATATAGTCTGGTCTATGGTCTACATTAAATGATATATTGATATCTTGGCGTGGTCAAGACCACGATTTCCAGACCAAATCGTGGACCAATCCACTTTTCAATTTGTGTTAGCAACTCACTCAACCACTCTCGCAACTCCTAAGCGAGACCCAACTCTCAACCCTAATTTTTGAATCTCGTCTCCTCCTTCACTCATAAACCATACTCTGTCTCATAATAAAGACAATCGTGTCTTCATGTTACATTATGATAATGTTTATGACGTTATGGTACAAGTTGGTAGGGGTGGGCATTGGGTGGGTCGGGTGGATTTTGACCATAAAATGCACCCACCCGCGCTTAAATGGATTGATAATTTTTAACCCACCACCCACCCACATCTAGTCTCGGGTTGGGTCGGGCGGATGGTGGATGATTTGGGTGGGTTTGTGGGTTCACCCACATCACAATGTATATAATATAAAGGAGTCAACTTGACATGATAATAGGCGAAGAGAGTTATCTGGGGAAACAAGAAGATGAAATAGGGCGAAAAATGTCAAATTAGTTCTTAAATTGGATAGAAATTCTATTATGAAAGAGTTTTCTACAGATTGAGATGATTTTCAGGTGCAAGGAACTAAGAAAAATAATTCCACAAAGGAAAGAGCAGTGATCTATGCACAAGAATTAGAAGAAAAAAATAAAGCGAACAGGAGGGGATCGCTATTTGGAAGGTTGGCTTTGAGGTTCAAACTCCAGGAGCATTCCTAGTTTATGTCTAACGTCTCCACTCTCCCCTCTCTAGCGCCGACGACTTTGATCTTTTTGCTGTTGGGTTGAGCGGGTCACCCGCGCACCCACCCACAACCCACCCACCACCCGGCGGATGGCTCCCAACGCAACCCGTCACCCACCCATAGACCCACCCACTTAACGAAATTCGGGTCAAATGCGGGTGGGTCGGCCCAAACCCGCGGATGATCCGCCCGCATGCCCAGCCCTACAAGTTGGGTTGCCCTGACTTTGTGTTTTTGTTATTTACTTGGACTAATGATATCAAAATTATGCATGTGCATTGCAATTTATGTTTTAAGTAAGAAAAAATATTTTTTTTCTCAGTTATTAGTTAGATTTTTCGTGTGGTTGACTAAAAAAGCTTTTCAGTTTATGCTCAATGTGGTTTGCATGGTCCAGACTAAATCAATCCAAATCTTACATATATTGTTTGGTCTGGATAGTGTAGTATATGGTCTAATCTCTAATCTATACTCCAGTTTATCGTCAGAACTATAAATCATATGTATGGTCCAGTATGGACTAGACCACACTATTTGTGACAGACCGCACTATTTGCGAACCCTAGCCGCCTATGGGCATTGGATTAAAGTTGTATAACATCTCCTGGGTCGCCAACGAACAAACGAGACTTATGGTTCTATGCAATTTCAGCCATAAGTCTTAGTGCATCCTTTACATCCCTAAATTGCATAATGCGACTTGGTTTTAAGCTCCTTCCTCCAACCCATTGTGTCGTAGCTCTTCTAGTGGCGCTTCTCTCGTTGGTCGAAGCCTCTCACATCCCTCTTCTTCAGCAAACCAGTTAGTTGATTTTGGTTGGAGTATATGGTTTATTGGGTTTATAGGGGATCGAGCTATTGAGTTTGTTTCGTTCTACAATGATATCTTTAATCTCTTTCTTATTGAACTTGTGGCTCTTTGTGATGACTTTCGTTATATCTTATTTCATTTCTTTTCTAATGTTATGTTTTTTGTTGTTGTTGTTGTGATGCACAGATTTTGGAAGATCAATGTCAATGATTCGTCAAATTTTTTGATAGAGATCATTTTGAGAGATGTACCAAGTTTTAAGCAATTCTCTCCAATATGCTTCATTCTGTTTCACTTATCGTAGCTATAATATGATTGCCCATATTGGTACATAACAAGCTTTTTATCGGTGGTTTACAACTCATCGACTATCTTCTCTCTTTCTTTTGTAAGTTCTGTGACTTTATCCTATAAAGACTTTATTTGTTCCAGCTTATTTATGAAAAAAAAGACCAAAAAAATAACATTATGGTAAGACATCCAAATATAAATGGCCCGACCTTTATTTATCAATGAACAAGCAATTAGAGTGAAATCAAAAGGCTATTCCTTTGTATAGATAACAATTGGGCTTCTAACACTGTGAGCTCCATCGCTCCAATTCAGTGCAGCAGAGGCCAAGAAACCACCTTTGGCCGGAAAATTACCGCCAGATACAGTGACGGTGAAAGATTTCTTCTCGTTTAGAGACCCAAAAGAAAGAACCGGTGGCGTCACTTCAATCTTCAGTCTTCCCATGGTCGGCACAACTTGGGATGTGTACGTCGACTTCGCTGTTCCGACGTTTGTCACCGTTCTAAGAAATGAAATTTTGAAAGAAGCCCTCGTACCCGAAACATCAGTGGTTATGGAAGGGTAGTTGAAGTCCTTTATAGCAGTCGGGTCAGCTCGAGCTATGCAACTGCTGTTTTTGTCGCCAGTGACGGTTCTGAGCCTGTCGCTAGTGTAGCCCAAGTTGCAGAGCAAGTTGACGTCGTCCTGTGCTGATGTTTCATAGACAAGTCCTGGATTTGTGGCCTTCACGGGATTTAGCTGCCCCGATCCATAAGCGAATTCCGTAGATGCGTATGTAATGCTTGGATCTTGAACATTCCCCGGATGCATTGGTGTCGCTGTAAGAGACAAGAATGACCAGGTTTGTATTTTCCCCTGTTTGAAAATCAGGGGTGGAAACAGAGTGCAATTCAAATAATTACCGGTGGTGAGGATGGCGGATTTGAGGGCGGAAGGAGACCAATCGGGGTGCAGGGTCTTGAGGTAAGCAACTACGCCGGTGACATGTGGGCAGGACATAGAAGTTCCAGATAACACATTGAAACTGTATTGTCTTTTATCATCGGCGTCATCAGTTAATGATGCTACCGGAGAAAACCCAGCCAAGATATCCACCCCAGGAGCACTCACATCCGGCTGTGAAAACATCAATAGTTGTACAACGATCACAAACATAAAAAAGAGACTCTGCGATCTTGTAATTGAAATGTTGAATCACGATGTCGACATACATTGGTTATGTTCATACCTTGAGAATGCCAGAGATGATCGAGTTTGGACCTCTGGAGGAGAAGGAAGCCACCAATGGTGCTCCGGGATCTCTCACAGTGTCACTTTTTTGTAGCTTCGCCACTGGATTTCTACGGAAAAACAAGCATATATAAGTTTGCTTAATCCAAAAGTGGCATCATAATGAAGCAGAACTAGCTAGTATGGACATACTTGGTAGAGTTCTGATATGAGATTACGGCGTCAAGGGTTTGGAAATCCACACCGGCGGCAGGAAAGGGGACAACAGAGGCAGCTTCGGAAGTGTTGTAAGGGTAGATAACTCCCTTGGCGCCAGCTTCAAAAGCCATCAGCTTGCCGTCGATGGAATCACATATCACAATTTTGTTCTTCACTACAATGCTGTCCAGGCAGCAAACTCTAGTAAAAGAAATTGATACAGTAATTGAGAAAACGGTTCACAATATCTTCCTCCATTGTCAAATAGAGCAACAAGCTAGCTAGCTAGAGAAAATGGAGATGGAGGGCGTTTGAGGGTTCACCCACCCTACGCAGCCAAGTGATTGATCTCTATGTACCAACGGCGACTCCGGCCCATTATCCGCGAACGCATTCACTGAAATTCCCTATAAACGACGTTCCCCCAAATCCAAAAGGGTGAATTAGGGTAACAGATAACGAAAAATTGCCTCAATTTGACTCTAGAAATTCCATACCGTGACTATCTTCCCGTTGCCCAGAACAACTTTGGACTCGAATTTCCGGTCGATGGTGCTGGCGGCGACAGAGAGCAACCACGGAGCTACACTACAAGTGGTGGCAGATCGGGGGCCACTATTCCCGGCGGAATGTACAGTGAGGATTCCTCGACGCGCCGCGTGAAAACCGCCAATTGCGACGGTGTCGGTGTCTATATCAACGGCCTCGAGTGTCGCAATCGATACAGATATAACGTCGACTCCGTCGGCTATTGCATCGTCGAAGGCGGCCAGAATGTCCGCCGACGAACAGCCGAAGCCGCCACACGCCTGGTAGACGGCGATTCGAGCAGAGGGAAGTCCACCTCTGGCGACGCCACTTGCCAGCCCATAGAAGCTGGCGTCCTTTACCACGTTTCCTACTGCCGTCGAAGCCGTGTGGGTGCCGTGACCTTGGTCGTCTCTTGCCGATTGGGAATAGTAGTACCGAGCTCCGATTATCTTACTACAATGAATTTCAATTTAGGGTCCAATATTACGAGTACAATTAGCTGTCAGGAAGGTAAAAATGAATATCGGTAGACTTCTTGTCTTGTACATTAAATCATACCACCTTCTAAGTAATTTTAATAAAAATTCCATAAAAATGAAGATAGTAGATCAATAAATTTTTGTTGGACATATAATTTCATTTCAAGTAACACAACTCATGTACGATTTTATGGAATTTTAAAATTCTCAAGTTTTAGGTAAAATAAAAAATTCTCACTCTAAACATAAAAAAGGAAATGCCAATTAAATTTTTAGGCTATGTAAAGGCGTGGTAAGAAGAATGACTAAATGAATATTTACTTGTTACAAGTGAAATTGGTTCCGCCTTTGCAAACACCCTTCCACTTCGCCGGCGGAGGACCAAAACCATCGTCATCAAAACTAGGCAGTTCCGGCCATATTCCACTATCTATAATTCCAACCACAACATCACTAGCAACGCCCGCAGGATTCTTAATCATCGTGGGTTGAGGTAGGCCTAAGAAATCCCACGATCTCGTGGTCTGGAGTTGCAACTTCTTGCTCGGGAAAACAGAGACCACGTCTTTTCTGCCTACAAAACCACAACCAAAATAGATGTTTCTATGTAAATTTATTGCAAATAAATTGTAATAAATGTGTTTGTGCATGAAAGAAGATAAATTAAGTCACATACTGGAAATCTTTCGTGCCTCTTCACCGGTTAGCTTTGCCGCAAATCCGTTGAAACTTCTTTTGTAACTCCTGATCAATAATCCTGATGACCCTAATTGGCTGTACAAATGGAAATGGTTTAGCCATGATCAGAATTTCCAATTTGACTGATGAAAAGATGATAAGGTAGTTGAAAAATTACGATACGAGAGAGTTAAGGTGTTAAATAAGTATGACATTTTTTCATTATTTTACCCTACAAACAATATGTTTGATAATCTTCCACCCGTTATAAAGTATTACAAATAATTATGATTTAAATTACAAATAATTATTAAATTATCAATCCAATAACTTAAAAGAGTGTATTAAATATGTTATACATATCCCATACACAAATTATGGAGAGATGGTTTATTCCGTACGAGATGCAACATAAGTAAATTAATAGGGAAAAAATTGATAATTTTTTGTTGCGTATATGAGTATTGAACGAGTTTTTGGTAATTATTATGACAATTAGAGATGTTAAGAAAATATCGACCTGTCATCGACAACCTCTTGGAGTAGGGAGAGATGGTGAGATGAGGGAGAATAGTGATGATCATGCTTAGGCAATGCGCCCATGTACACGATATAAACCTGTTAATTAATTAGAATAACATCATATATAGATCGGCAAGAAAATAGTATTGATCAGAAAACAAAAAATGAATCCTCAATGGCTGAAATGATTTGGGCACTGACTTCTCTGTCGCCATTGGTGGTGGCATTGCATATTAGATTCACATTAGATAGAAGAAAGATTCCGAATGAAATGTGCAGTAAAGATTTGAATGACCACATATTGTTCCTCTTTCCTCGCAACTAATTTTATGATTTTCCTTTGAGATTATTGACAAAAAAGGACTGCAATTTATACACAAACCCGCCAAATTTATTTTGGTAAAGAATTCATTAGTTTTCTTTCCTTGGTCTAAACAATCACTTACTTCCTTTTTCTTCACTAGAAAATAATCTAAACAAAAAACAATATCATAATGACAAACCATTCATTTAAAAAAATTCTGAATTACTTCTAAAGCGTTGTGAGAAAGGAGAAGATAAGCTTCAAAACTGGGAAATTAATTGGATACTATAAATTTGGAAAATGGATAAGCAGATAGAAATTATTTAATGCTTACCTTAAAATTATGAAGTATTAACCAATTTTTCTGTTGATTCATGTAAGTGGTTGACAAAGTTTTTTTTTTTTTGGTAGGAATGGTTGGCAAAGTTAAATGTGTGGTTGGTAAAGATGTCTACGTGGGCTGGATTAAAGCGGGAACACTATCAAAGGTTTGTCGAAGGAATAGAGGAAGAATAATACTATCGTTGGAATACTTAGTATAAGGAATATATATATATATATGGGCAGTTCTACGGTGCCCAGGGCAAAATCCGGGGTACGGGTAACCGGGGGCAAGGAAAATTACCAAATGCATCACGAAGCGTTTATGGTGACTTCTACGGACTTCAACCTAACTGTACCCGGTTTAATGATAGCGATTAAGAGGTTAAACCCTATGGATACGACCCGCCGCCCTAACCAATTTCCAGTCTCCCTTCTACGATCCCTCATTCGCCTTGGAGGGTCCCCTCTAACTCTAAGTTCGAAGTTCGATCATAAGCTGCCTATCAAATCTGAAATCTCCAACAAAATCATCGTTTCGAAACCCAAATCCTTTTATTATTTGATCCACATTCGATTTAGCTCCCTATCCAATCTCAAATCCCCAACATCATCATGTTTCATACGCCAAATCTATGTATCCACATTCGAAGAGAAGATCCCCATCCAATATGAAATCCTCACATAATCATCGTTTAGAACCCCAAATCCTTTTATCCACAAATCGACGTTTTGTTCATCGCCATTTTATTTCCGTGCGGAATTTACTCGCCTTACTCTTTCTAACACGATTACGGCGACCATGTCTATTATTGTGTTCATCAAACTTTTCGTTTGCAAAAGAACCCTTGAAAGAGATTTGCTAACCCTAGGGTTCATGTCGCTAGTGCTTTGTCATCTTGTCTTAGCGTTATTGTCATTTTCTCGAACTTCTATCACTCGGTGAAATTAAGGTTTCCTGATATGCAGTGTTCGTCTCGCCCAGAGGATTGAGGAAGGAGATGAAGAAGACCTAATTTGATTCGAATCAGATGGAGAGGTCTCCTTAATTTGTGTTTATGTATTAACGCTGCGTTTAGGACTAATTCTAGTTGGACTGGGTCTGACCATTGATTTTTGCAGGCTTTTAAATAACATTCAAACGTGGGCTTGTACATGGACCCATGACACCTAGTTTGTTGATAATAGATACTGAGTTCCGGATTGTCATTAGGTTGGGCCTTTGATAATTGTCTATCTCAGACTCTCAGTGGCGATTCTTTGTTTTACTTATTTTCATCTGCTTCTGCTTCTAAAATCCTGATCATTCATTGAGTTCACGCAATTTAAACATAATTCTGTGTTCCATCTTTTTTGGAATTTGGTAAATGTTAGCGTGTCTCTTTACACATTTAGCGGTACGAGGTAAACTACAATCCGCCCAATTTAACTCTTCATTAATTGAGATCCCATTCCACTCTCTCACCGATTTCCCCTCTTTATGCAATGCACTCGTACATAACAAACCTCTTGTAGACTAATTAGAGGCTTGTGGTTGGATACTGAGTGAGGATATTTTTTGAATTTATGTTTTGAAACGAAAGTTAGAGTTTCACTTTTGAAGTACCTATGTACTTTAGTTGGGCAAGTATTTTCAAAATGTAAAATTTATCAGCGTATAGGTATACGATTGTTGTATAAGGTGTTGATGTTAGAGGAAATGGGTACTGACTGCTTAGGGTATTAGGTTGTTGATGGTATAGAGTATATGGTATATGGGTAGGTTATAAGGTGTTGATGGTTTAGAGCATATGGTATCGATTGGTTAAAGGGTGAGGGTAGGTGTTGTCTTATTTTTTCTCGATTATATATTTTCTTTATATTTGCTTATAAATGCTGATCATGCCTTATTACTAAGACATAATTCGTTATATCTGCTTATAAATGCTTTATATCTGCTTATAAATGCTGATAATTTAATGTTTGATTTGAATCTGCGTGTTTTTGCTCCGAATGATTTTGTAGTGGCGTGGTAAAGACAATCCGTCCAATTTAACTCTTCATTAATTCCCCCTTTTCTTTTCTGTTTTGGTAGAATAATTACCCCTTTTCCACTCTCTCAGTCCCCGCCGAAGTTGAAACAATCCCCTGCTGATATATTTATCGATCATTTTAACCCTTCACTTCAATAAGAAAGCGAAATTATGCAAGATGGTCCATCAATGTGATGTAGCTTAATTGGTTAATTGTCTCTTATTTGCCTTAGTCAATAAAGTAGAGGTTTGTGGTTCGATACTTAGTGAGGTATCAATTTTTTAATTTATGTTTTGAAAAGCAAGTTATAATTTTAATTTATCAGCGTATAGGTAATACGATATTGTATAAGGTGTTGATGGTTTAGAGTACATGGTATTGGGTTAGTGTATTGATCATCTCCATCCCTAAATAAGATATTGTATAAGGTTTTGATGGTTTAGAGTATATGGTATTGGGTTAGTGTATTGATCATCTTCATCCCTAAAATTGACAACAATTTTCTAAACGAGGTCCCTACCGCCACATCATCAATTTTAGCAATTCATCACTTAACAATTTCTATTCATCTACATCCCTACATTATGCTAGTAATTGCCAAGGTGGGTTCCATTTTATATTTCAAAGGAAACACTTATTATAAATTGAAAGTTGGGGATGGAGATAGAAGAAGGTGTTGTTGGTATACAGTATAAGGTCTTGAAGGTTATGGACGTATAAGGGAAGGAGCAAGGGTGTTGATGGTTTAAAGTATATATGTTATTGATTGGTTACGGTATAAGCCTATAAGGTGTTCTTATTGTTGTAGAGTATATGATATTGATTGGTTCGTGTATTAGGGTTTGGTTTAGGGTTTAGGGTTTAGGGTTTCAAGTTAGAATAACATAAACCAGATCAATAGAGTAATGTTGGTAAACGAAAAAGTTAGTTAATCTACAAATTCAGACTATTTAAAAAAGTACATCCCCATTTCCCACCGTCAATTCCTAAACTTTTCCCTTGATCCGATGGTGAAATACCTTCGATCCTCGTCGCGTGCGTGTCACCCAATCAGATATTGCCGAAATTCGGAAAGTCGCTTTTGCCCATAACAAATGCTGGCGTTACCAAGGCCGAGGCAGTGGTAGGGACTGTAATTTTCAGTAAATGTGAAGGGAGGGAAAGTAAAAGTAATTACGAGTCAATCTTTAATTCGTTAATAGGCCGTGCTCCGATCCTTGAAAAGAACCCTTTCTTCCATCTTCTCAATATGAGACTCCGAAAACCATCTCCTGCTGCTGTTCGTTCCTCCTCCTCTCAATCCCTGAAAAGAACCCTTTCTTCCATCTTCTCAATATGAACCCCGAAAAATCAACTCCATCCGCCTCTCGTCCTCCTATCCCATGCTTTATTTCGGGTGCAGTGGTAATGATGAGACTGCGTATTATTTTAGATCTCATTTCCTTTCATTATGTCATTGTTAGATCATGACTGTTAAACTAAATCCTTCGTTGTATTGTTTCTCCTTTTCTCTCCATGCAGGGTCTTGTTAGAGGCAGGGAGGGGAGCAATGACAATAAGTCGCCGTCCTGAATATAGCCAGAAGAATCATCACATGTTGTTGCGATTCCATAATAGGTGTTGTGGAACCCTACTTCATGTGGTGATTCTTCTGCGCCATATTGACGCGTACTTGTTGATCATGCTCCCAAAATGTATACAAGATAGGAAAGTTGCCATATGAGG